AAAAAATAATATTATATATAATTATATAGATTACAACGTGATTCATGACCGAAATCGCAAGATTAATACACGGAGGTTCGTCAGCTTTAATCAATTACTAATAATTGTGATTCAAATTGAAAGGGCGTTCCAAACCACCAGTCCTCCCACCTTAAACAAAAAAAACCACCAGGCTCACACCAGTCCTTATTATTATTTTTTTCTTTTTTTTGGGACAGATGTCTCACAACTTGCCCATACTCTTGTTCCGACCTATTATTTTAAGGATGTTTGAATTAATTATTTTGATATAGTTAATAATTAATATTTAAAATTTAATAATTATTATTTATAATATCGAATATATAATTTGTTTAGTTAAAATTAATAATTGAAAACTATTTTTCAAACTTTAAAATAAACACCCTAAAGGCACATCTTAGGTCATCTTACCACAATATTTAAGAAAATTATTATATTAGTTATTGAATGAAGATTTAAATACTACATCTTGTCTACAAATTAACACTTATTTATGGTGCATAGAACATTGAGATTATTATCATTAAAAATTGTGTTAAAATCACTAATTTTAACTATAATTTTATCAAATTATATTTTTTTAAAATAATTAATTATAATATTTAAAAATATCTATATGTAAATTGATACATATTAAGATAAAATTTACACAATGTTAATGATGTATAATAATTACCTTAGCCACGTAGGACCCTTGAAAATTTGAAATTCCTAGCTCCCATTATATCAGAAAGTTTTGTTTTTTGGAATTATTGGAGTGCCATTTAAAGTTCCTCCACTACGTTTTTGATCACTAATTTGCAGAGGCCCCTACATTAATCCGCCATGGATATACAGCCGAAGCTTCACATAGCGATGTTTCCATGGCTGGCATACGGCCACACCGCGCCGTTTCTCGAGTTATCCAAGTTCTTAGCTCAAATGGGTCATCGTGTATCTTACATTTCCACACCCAAAAACATCACTCGCCTCCTAAAATTCCCTTCAGAATCATCGCCTAATCTATTCTTCGTAGAACTCCCCCTGCCTCACGTTCAGGGGCTGCCGCCGGGAATCGAGTCCACCGCCGATTTACCCATTCAGAAAGTTCCTTACCTCAAGAAAGCATATGACAAGCTGCAGGGCCCTTTGGCTGAGTTCCTGAAAACTTCAAGTGTGGATTGGATAATCCATGATTTCATTCCATATTGGATACCACCACTGGCGGCCCAGCTCAGTATCAATTCAACTTGCTTCATCATAGTCGGCGCCTCCTCTGTGGCTTTCTTCGGCCCCCCGGATAAGTTGATTGCTGGTGAACGGCAGAGGCCAGAGGACTTTACAGTTGTTCCGGAATGGATCGATTATCCTTCTAATGTAGCTTTTAAGCAACACGAGATGGCGAATCACCAGAAGTGTGAGGACCGGGACAACCCCGACTTTTTCCGGTGGGGATCGGCGATTCAAGGTTGTCAAGTTGTGACTCTGAGAAGCTGCCCCGAGTTAGAACCGGAGCCATTGAATTTACTCAGCAAGATTTTACAGAAACCGGTTGTTCCAGTTGGGTTACTACCGCCGCCAGTGCCATCACCGGATGGAGTGGATGACGGAGACGAGACATGGGTGGCACTGAAAAAATGGATGGATGGTAAAAAATTGAAGTCAGTTTTCTTTGTCGCACTTGGTACCGAGGTGACACTGAGTTCGGAGCTGTCGCGCGAGTTAGCCTCCGGGATAGAGAAATCTGGATTGCCCTTCTTATGGGTGGTGAAGAATCACCCGTTCATAGAAGGGGAGATGAGTCAAGACATTCTTCTGCCGGGTTTCGAAGAACGAGTCTCTGATCGAGGCTTAGTGTTTCGAGGTTGGGCACCTCAAATGAAAATCCTGGCGCATCCCTCCATCGGAGGTTTCTTGACTCACTGTGGATGGAGTTCGACAATTGAAGCATTGAGTTTGGGTCTGCCGTTGATTTTGTTTTCTGGTGCGAGTGCGGACATGGGTTTGATAGCAAGACTGTTGCATGAGAAGAGGGTGGGGTTAGAAATAGAAAGGAATGAGGTAGACGGATCATTTACAAGTGACACAGTGGCCAAGGTGATTAGGGTGGTGATGGTGGAGAAAGAGGGTGAGCCAATCAGGGCCAATGCTTGGGCTATGAAGGAGATTTGCGGCAATATAGAGTTGGGGAAGAAGCACTTGACCCAGTTCAGTCGGTACCTTGAAAACTACAAATCTATAACCCAATCGAACAAGTGGTCATGATGCTCCTTCGCGACCCCCCCATGCTATATAGAACTCCACTATCTGTCCGTGCCTGGATGTATTTGCCCTCGCAGCTCAAAAACTACGCCTATGTAAGCAATGTTGTGGCCTTAATTCAAACCATGGCATTCCTCCTCGCTTGATTTCCCTTGTGCAAAAATAATAATTATTATTATTATAAAAATATAAAAATATGATAATTTTTTCATGTTATTTTATATTATAAATTTATAATATAATGTATTATTATATAATTAATTTTTTTATTTTAAAATTTATTTATAATATTACATACATCTATTTATTTAATCTTATATTATATTTATTTATATTATATCTCATTGTTATAAATTTATAATTTTATCTTACATTATAACTATAGTAATTCAGTAATTATTAATTAGTAAGAATTTTTGGTTATGATGTGAAGTTATTTAAATTTTAGGATTTTCTACATAAATTAAATGCAGAAAGAGAAAGCAAGCCCCTGTGATTATCCAGGGCTGGCAGATCAGTCCTTAGACTTCCTTTTATAATAAGCAAATCCTTAAGCTTGTCCATGTTATATATAATATATAAGCTTATCTAATCAAATGACTTAAACAGTACAATAGTAATATCTTTTTTAAGTGATAAAAAAATATCTTAAATTACATAATATATTATTAGTGTATGTTAAGGGTTACTAAAGATTATCTCCTCATCATGTCATTTAAAATATGGAGAGATTTAGATACCAAGATGTGAGAGAGAGAAAAGAGGGAGATGGGAAAGAGAGAAATTAAATAAAATGATGTTTCATATGACACCTTTTTCCTCTTGTAATTTAGCCTATTTTATTTGATTACTCCATTACTTTTTTTTGTACTAACCTCTCAGTATTCAATAATCACATTGAATTCTTATTAATTTAGAATCGAAATTGGGTTGAACTCCATTAAGAGGAAATTCTCTTGGTATATATTTTTCCATTCACAAGATTTGAATTTGAAATTTTATTTAAAAAGAATCGAATTCTTTTCACTCAAACTAACAGATTATTGGTTTTGATTATTGGTTTTGATTACTCTTTTACTAACTAAAAAGAAAGAGGAATTAATTAAAAGTAAACAGCTCTTATAGATTTAACCATTACTTGATGATGAGTTATTAACGTCCTTGATTTAACAACAAAAACGAACATAAAACATAGAGTATATATACGGATATTAATTAATCAACAAAAACAAAAAAAAATAAAAAATAAAAAGTTGATAATGAACAAAATTAATGTACAGACTCATGAAGGAATGGTAATGAACAAAGTTGTAAGGTACAGGTACACATTTGTCGCAAAGGCAATAGCCCATAGTTTGATTCTTGCTGCCGTTGTGCATTCTCTCACACATGATAAGTGTCACTATCTCCATTGATTTGAGTACACGTTGAAGGTGCGTCACAGATCAGGAGGCCAGAAAAAACGATTGTATAAAGAAGTTTTCAGTTCCTAGTTTTGTTTTGAGAATGCGCAGGTGGCATTTTTTAATTATTGATTGATGGAAAAGGAACCATAACAAATGTTGGTAGTAATTAAGAATTTGATAGTATAAATGGGAAATCTTAAAGTTGAATTTTGATGTGGGTAAGAAACTAGGAATGGATAGGAGAGGGGGAGGGTTATGCATATATATTTTATTATTTAATTATTAAAAATATTATTGATGGAAGGCTAAGCTCTAATATTAGGAAGTGTATTTTTATATTAATATTAAACTTGTTAAAATTTTATTTTAATTTAATTATTAAAAAATAATTGATAATTAATAAAATAATTAATATTTATTATTTAATTTATTAAAATTAATTTACAAATGAATATTTTTAAATATCACAATTAACCATTTAAAAAATTTATAAATTAATAAAATTATAATTAAAATGAATATGAATAACAACCTTGGCACATTTATTTAAAAAAAAAAAAAAAAAACCCCTTCGCACACTTTTCTGTTTTGTTTTTTGTTTTTTGTTTTTTTTATTCCTTCTGTGATATGGTGGCTCTTTTCCCTACTTTAAAATTCTAAATTTCTGCAGTCGTCTACACTGAATTGTAGGCTTCTCTCTAAACATCCCCCATGGATGTCCAATCGAAGCTTCATATAGCAGTGTTTCCATGGCTGGCGTACGGCCACATTATTCCGTTTCTTGAAGTCTCAAAGTTCTTAGCTCAAATGGGTCATCGTGTATTGTACATTTCCACACCCAAAAACATCAGTCGCCTCCCCAAACTCCCTTCAGAATTCTCTCCTAATCTCTGCTTTATAGAACTTCCCCTCCCTCACGTTCAGGGGCTGCCGCAGGGAGTCGAGTCCACGGCCGACTTACCGATTCAGAAGGTTCCTTTCCTCAAGAAAGCGTATGACAAGCTCCAGGGTCCTTTGGGTGAATTCCTCGAAACATCACGCGTGGATTGGATCATCCACGATTTCGCACCGTACTGGTTACCACCGCTCGCTGCTCAGCTGGGTATCAATTTAGCTTTCTTTAGCATAGTCGGCGCTTCCTCCGTGGCTTTCATAGGCCCTCCAGACAAGCTGATTGCAGCTCGAAGGCAGCGTCGTGCGGAGGACCTTACGGTCATCCCAGAATGGATCGATTATCCTTCTAATGTAGCCTTTAAGCTCCATGAGGTTCTGAGTCACCAGCAGTGTGAGGACCAGGACGCCGAAGGGTTTTTCCGATGGGGATCGGTGGTTCAAGGTTGCCAAGTTGTGACTCTGAGAAGCTGCCCCGAGTTTGAACCAGATCCGTTTAATTTACTCGGAAAGATTTTACAGAAACCAGTTGTTCCGATCGGGTTGTTGCCACCGTCAGTGCCACCGCTTGATGGAGTGGCCAACGGAGACGAGACATGGGTGGCATTGAAAAAATGGCTTGATGGAATGAAAGAGAAGTCAGTTTTCTACGTCGCACTTGGCACCGAGGTGACTCTGAGTCCGGAGCAGTCACATGAGTTGGCGTCCGGGGTAGAGAAATCTGGATTGCCCTTTATATGGGTGGTGAAGAACCGCCCCTTAGTAGAAGGGCAGATGGGTCTACACATCTTTCCACAGGGATTCGAAGAACGAGTCTCAGAACGAGGCGTCGTGGTAAGAGGTTGGGCACCTCAAATGAGAATCCTGGCTCATCCCTCCATTGGAGGTTTCTTGACTCACTGTGGATGGAGCTCGACGATTGAAGCACTGAGTTTAGGTCTGCCATTGATTCTGTTTTCCGGTGCAAGCTCAGATTTGGGGTTGGTGGCACGGTTGTTGCATGGGAAGAGGGTGGGGTTAGAAATAGAAAGGAATGAGGTAGACGGGTCATTTACAAGTGACACAGTGGCCAAGGTGATTAGGGTGGTGATGGAGGAGGAAGAGGGTGAGCCAATCAGGGCCAATGCTTGGGCTATGAAGGAGATTTGCGGCAATATTGAGTTGGGTAAGAAGCACTTGACCCAGTTCGTTCGGTTCCTTGAAAACTACAAATAAAACCAACAAACTCAATGACGGTGGATGATGCTCTACCGCAGTCCTGCCCCCATATTAGAAAGCCCTCGGAATTGTCATGGTCTATGCCTGCAAGTGCAATGTAATCCTTATCAAGATAGTGTAAATCCTGGAAGCTATAATGTCAAATAAAATCTCAACAAAGTTTGTTTGGGATATTTTACCAAAGTGTTGTGATAAAGTGTGAAATCTTTTTTAAAGTATAAATATGAATTTCTAAATACAACATCTAAAAGAATCATGTTGAATTGTAAAACCTCTATAGAGATAATGTTTTTTTTATCAATTAGTGATATTACATACAAAATTATGTGTTATTTAATAATTAATTCTTTTTATTTAATAAAAGCGATAATATTGTATACATAGATTTATTTATTAAAACATAAAAATTATATAAAAAATTATAAAAAATAAATCTCCATACCACTAAATTAACAATTACAAATATCTTGTGACATAACAGACTTTCTCCTTATATCCATAGTTTGTTAGATGCTACACCTACATGACAGAATTGAGTGACAAACACTGGAAAAAGAAAGAGTTCTTTTCTTTTTTATACTGAATGGAAAGAAAAAAAAATTATTTTACAATTTAAATTCAGAAAACTGTTTTACAAAATAGACTGTATGCAACATGTCCTGTAAAATTAATTAAATAACCCTGAAAAAATAATATAAAAACAAATTTAAGGGTATTTAAGTAATTTTACAGGTCGGACTGCATACAATCCATC